GAGGCACAGTGGAAAATGGCAGAGTGGCCAGCTCTGATGGGCACTGCACGGCACACTCTGGGAAGACATCCCTCACCAGTCCACCTTAGAGAACTAGCTACTAAGAGAAAACTTCTCAGTCAAGGTCACATCTGCTCCCTGGAATACAAAGGCCCAGCCCTCTTGCTCCAGCTCAGAGCAACACTGAGGAGTCATTCCCAACTCTGAGGTTACTATGGCCTCTACCGAGTTTTGTCTGTCTACCAAGTGCCTTCCCTATCTGCTCATGTCTTCTCCCTCTTCCTTCAATTCAAGTCATTTTCACAAGAACTCCCTAGGCTACAGACTGCTCATGGATCTCCCCCTCAGAGTCTGAGTTCTAGATCAGAAATCAGTAAATTACAGGCAGGCTAAGTCTGGCATACCATTTGCCTTTGCAAATAAAGCTTTATTGGCAACAGCCAAGTCAGTCAATGCATCACAGTGCTTTCCCACCAGAACAGCAGAGCTGAGTAAATGCCATACAAATCAGAGGGTCTGTGAGGATGAACACATGCTCCTTTATAAGAGGAGGTGAGGGAAATAGTGAGAAGGAGAGGAGAAGAAGAGAAAGAAAGGGGAGAGAGTGGAGAGAAGGGAAAGGGCAGGAGACAAGAGGGAAAGAGGGGCAAAAAAGAAGGGAGAGAGGAGCAAAGAGAAAAGAAGAGGGAAGGGGAGGGGAAGAGAAAAGGAAGGACAAAAGGTTGCTTCAGTAACTCTAGATCATCAGAGGGAGGAAACACATTTGCCAAGTAAAGTTTCTTCCCAAGCCTTTTGAGCCCTCTATACATAAGTCCTCTGGGATGAGAGGGTTGAGTCCAGGAAGCCACCTTCCTCTCAGGTAAGCCTGGTGTGTAAATGATGAAGCTAGCTCACTACACACACCTGAGAATACAAGCAGATTTGGTGTCCATGTGGTGGCCCGGCAGGGCTTCTTCCTTCCAGCCATGCAAACTAATGCCTTTAGAGAGGAGGTTCTCAACCTTCCTAATGCCGTGACGCTTTAATACCATTCTTCATGTTGCGGTGATCCCCAACCATAAAATTCTTTCATCGCTACTTCATAACTGTAGTTTTGCTATTGTTATGAATTGCAATGTAAATGTCCGATATGCAACCCCCAAGAGGTCACGATCCACAGGTTGAGAGCTACATGTGCACTTGCCGAGGGCCTACCAGTCCAGAAGGCCCACCACAAAGCAGGAACCTAGGCAAGCAGTGTGGGCAGAGCATTCCTTAGTCTTTTCTCCAATATCATCTAACATCATTGTTCTCTATTTACTTGGATGTCTCATGAAGGAAGAGAGCATCAGAACTGGACCACAGTACGAAAGAAACTAGGTAACACAGTGTTTCATAATCAAGAGTGGATCAGTCACACAGTGATATCAGAACCATTCAGATCAATATAAAAAACCCATAGATGGCACAGAGACCCAGATTTCAGATAGGAAAAGATCTCTGAGCTGATGAGCTTTAGCCAAATCAACAAAACAACTTATTATATCTCATCAGAACCCCATTTGTAGCCCATTGGCCACTACCCAAGAATATGCTCCTAAGCAGTCTTCAAATACTACCTTCTATGGTGACAGTGGAGAAAGGTCCGCTGCTGGGCACCACCAATGCCCTGACTACTCTGCCAAGGGTTGTTATTGGCAAGGATGCAACAGGAGCCATGGATATAACTTTGGTACTTAATGGATACATGGACTTGGGTAAGTCATTTAACCTTTGAGCCTTATTTGTCTTCTCTAAAAGTAGACTTAACTGATATTTTCCCTACAGAATTGTTTAGATGATTTAAAATAGCAGATATAACCCAAGGCCTGGCACTGAGGATTTTTACAACACATATCATGATTATTCAGGATGCTGATTAGAACAAGGATGGTAACAGTGATGCAAGTTTACCTCACTACAGGGCCAGAGATTTGTACAATGTTTACCTCTATGGTGCCAGCAGGATGCTCACTAACAGTGAAGAGAAAGCATCAAGGACTAAGGAGGTATGCAAAAAGAGAACTGATTCTTAACCTCTGTCCCAAGGAGAAGCAGGCACCCATGTGTCTGCTGGGATGTTTTGTCCCAGGGGACAGGACTATCTGTTTTCCATGAAGTGGTTGCAAGTAACTCATCTCCCCTCATTTTAGGAGTCTTCCTGAGTGCAAGCATATCTTCAAGGCTTACTCAATAGTACCATCTGTAGAACTTGCTATCCAATGACCTAATGACTACAGCCAAAACTATCTTGACTCTGTCTATGGACTCTCCCACGCAGCATCTACAAAGGCAGCTGGATGTCAGCAAAGTGAGCTCAGAGGGGTTCCTGCTTGAAAAGAGTTTAGATGAAAGGAGTTGGCTTCAGACACTAAGAAGGATGATGCCCATTAATAGTGTGTGTAGCCACAGGAAGCCATCAAGAGCGCCTCAGATACTGTTCCAGTTATGGACAGGAAGATACACAGGTCTTCTGAGTCTTAATGAGCATTGCTACGGTCTGAGAGTACTTGCAATAAGGCTAACAGGCTCTGTGAGGGTAGTGGCTGAGCTTGCAAGTGCACCCTGGGATGATGGTGTGCCCTGTATCAGGATAGACTAGGATCATTAGAACTAGTGTATTGTAGCTAGTGCTTGTAAACTTCAGGCAGGAATTCTGTAGCATGCTTTCTCATTATTCAACAAGAAATATAGCCACTGAAAATTAGTGTAGCTATATGAGTGAGAGAGTATGCAAACCAAGTAAGTATGTGCATGTGTGTGTGTACACACATATCTGTGCATTCATGCACACCGGAAGCACATGTCCCAAACACTAAACAAGCCCCTATTTTAACAGAGCATAGCTTTCTAAAAGACACATGGGTCTCTGCTTTCCTTTGGGCCTGAGGGTTAGGAATTGTTTCTTTGTCCGTTTCTTCAATCCTTGATGTTTTCTGTGGTGTTGGATATTAAGGTAGAAACTGCTGAGACTCACATGTATTCCTTCCCTTCAAAAATTCCTTCTGGGGCTGATAGAGAATGGAAAATAAAGTTAAGCTTGAAGACGTTCAAGAGCACTAATTACTGAGTGAATGCTATAAGCTCAGAGCAGTGGTGTCACTGTCCACATTCATTGAGCTAGAAAATAAGAGAATATGCTCAGGGTTCCTCTGCGGCTTTCTTCAAATGACAGGATGAGACCCTGAGATTTAGAGTCAGGTTCTAAATGTGAGTCTCTACAATACATTACTATTCTGATGGATGTCAGCCCCACAGGAGGCAGAACTAACCTCCTCTAACCCACCTAAGAAAACCCTTGACAGGAACAGCCAGTCTCTTTACAAGCCATAGGGAAGCCACTCTGTTCTGAGATGGGTTTTTGTGATCTGGCTCTGATTATTTTTAAAGGGCCTTTGGTGAAATTTTCTAAAAAATCCAAGTGATTATTCTATACCATGAGATGGAACATCAAGTCGTGCTCACCACATAATGCAGTTTCTCTATTTCTGGAATCATCATCAATAAGGAAGATGAAGTGCTCAGCTTGAGCAGTTGCCTTAAATACTAAAGTGGAGTTTATCTTTGTAACACAGAACGGCTGCTTACGTCTTCCTGCATGCAATGAGTCTGTTGATTCAGGCATTTCCATCGTTTAATCAACCCAGAAGCTATATCGAACTTACTTTAAAGTTCTCTCAGCATCCAATATATCTACACTTGTTAAAATTAATTACATCATTTAACATTTCCACATGCATTATAGTTTTAAGTGTTTCATGGTCATTTTTATTAATTAATAAACGCTTAATGGACAAAAAGTCATACTATAAAATTATTATGCATATGCTGCGTTTTCAGTTTTACTATTATTTCTTTTAAATATTTTCCCCAAGTGGAAAGTCCATGACTCATAAACCAGTCACTCTCATAGAAAGTACAACTGAAAATAGAAGTTTACTCAGAGACAGAGAAATCTGTGCCACTTCCCTCTCTCCAAGACAGACTCACTTCCTCTCCTGAAAGCCAAAGGGTCTCAGGGAAGCCCACCTGGGAAATTCTGTCTGGCCCTGAAATAGCAGAAATAGTAACAAATCCCAGCCAGCATCCTCTAGACACAACCCAGGCCACATGATTCCTTTTGCTGCTGGTTGGAAAGGAACATTCCAACTTTCCCATTAGAAAACATGCTGTAATTACCCACCCCCCAACGCGCGCGCATGCGCGCGCGCGCACGCGCGCGCACACACACACACACACACACACACACACACACACACACACACACACACACACTAATGCCCGCATGCTTCATTCCATTATAGAACGCAGGTGTAGTTTTTAAATGTCGATGCTAACATATTTATCAATGATGTGATTTAAAAGTAAAAACCTTAGGCCGGGCGGTGGTGGCGCACGCCTTTAATCCCAGCACTCGGGAGGCAGAGGCAGGTGGATCTTTGTGAGTTCGAGGCCAGCCTGGGCTACCAAGTGAG